CTGGAATGAGCCTTTTAAAACATAAGCCAGGGCGCCTGGGTGGCTCAGATGGTTAAGCGTCTGCCTTCGGCTCAGGTCATGATCCCAGACTCCTAGGATCGAGTCCCGCATCGGGCTCCCTGCTCAGCGGGGAGCCTGCTACTCCCTCTGCCTCTCTCTCTCTCTGTCTCTTATGAATAAATAAAATCATTAAAAAAAAACAACACCAACAAAAACATAAGCCAGATGTCATCAATCCTCTGCTCACCACTCTGCTCTAGGTACTTTCCATGCAGAGTGAAAGGCAAATTGTCTACATATTGAGTCTCCAGCTGTGGTAGGCAGAATAATGGTCCCCAAAGAAGTCCACATCCTAATTCCCAAAACCTGTGAATATGTCACATGGCAAAGGGAAACTAAGGTTGCAGATGGAATTAAGGTTGCCAATCAAGTGACCTTGAGGTGGGGAGATTATCCTGCTCTCTTCACTGGTTATCAATGTAATCACAAGGGTCTGCGTAAGTGAAAGAGAGGTGGGAATGTCACTGTTAGAATGATGCAATGTGGGAAGGACCTGACTGGCCATTGCTGGCTTTGAAGATAAAAGGACACCATGAGCCATACAAAGCAGGCATTCTGCAGAAGCTGGAAAGAAAAGAAAATGGATTCTCCCCGAGAACCCCCACAAGGAATACAGCCCAGCTGACATCTTGATTTTACTCTAGTGAGATCCATTTTGGACTCCTAACCTCCAGAACTGTAAGATAATATATTTGTGTTGCTTAAAGCCACCAAGTTTGTGGTATATTATTACACCAGCAATAGGAGACTGATAACACCAGCTAACATTCTGTCCTCTCAAACTCCTATCTCTCTCACTCATTCTGCCCCATGACCTCATTGCCATTCCTAAGTACATGCTGTGCCAACCCCTCTTCTGCTTAGGGCTCATGCACTTACAGTTCCCTCAGTCTGAAGTAATTTTTAAATTGCAAACCACTGTTATAAAACAGACAAAACACATGGTTTTTAGATAATGGACAAAAGGCTGTGCAAGAGAGTAATCCCTGAGAGAAAGGAAATAAACGAGGTGAGCGCTATGAGTGCTCGCTGCCTAGAGATTTCAGGCTTCTGCACAAGGAGGGGAACCTGTAGTGTGTCTGGTTATTTCAATGAGTTGAGAAGACAGGAGTTCAGAGCCTGTAGAAGCCACAGTCACTAGAACTTGTGGAGAGAGGGGCAGTGAGAGAGAGCTCCAGAGATAGGCAGAGGATTCCCCACAATTCTTTGGCTGAGTACTAATCAGGAAAAACATGTGCAAGGAAACTACTGGGGCCTGAGAAAGAACCACCAAAAAGGAGAAGGCTGAATAGTCTGCAGAGCTTCCACAGGGTCAGGAATGGAGTTCCCACCAGCCTGAGTGTAAAGAACTCCTAACACACGGGGCATTGATCAGAGTCCTCAAAAAGGTACTGGCTTCAGAAAGAGGCCAGATTAGCCCTAAAGAGTATTTTGGATGTAACAAAGTTTAAAAGCAAGCTTCTAAAGCATTGCTGTCCAACAGAACTTTCCTCAATGATTTAAATATTCTCTATCTATTGTCCACTATACTAGCTACTAGCCACATGTGGCTTTGGAATTTGAAATGTACATAGTGCAAATGAAATCTTAAGTTTTATCTAATTTTATTTAATATAATATTTAATACATAATCTTATTTAATAATTTAGGTTTTATCTAATTTTATTAATATAAATTCAAAATGCCACATATAGCTAGTGGTTACTATTTTGGACAGTGCAGCTCTAAATGATACAACTGTTTCCAAGTAACATTACTACATCTCAGAACGAAGCCTAAATATATTTAAAGAAAAACAAAAACAAAAACTTCCAGCACCCAACAATGTAAAATCTGCAATGTCTGACAGCCAAAAAAATTAACCAGGCATGAAAACAAGCAGAAAAATACGACCCATAAGCAGGAGGAAAAAAATTAGTTAATAGAAACAAACCCAGAAATGACACAGGTGATAGAATTAGTATGCAAGGACTTTATCAGCTATTTTAAATATATTCCATATTTTCAAGAAGATAGAGCAAAGCATGAGCATGATGAAGTTAGAAATGGAAGATATTAAAAAGAATTAAACTTCCAGAGATGAAAAAAACAATTCTGACATAAAAAATACTGTGGATGGGGTTAACACTGCCAAAGGAAAGAAGAGCGAACTTGAAGATATATCAAAAGATGTATTAAAATGAACAGAGCACCAACAGTTAGCTGTGGAACAACGTCAAGCAACTTATGTTGCTGCAGGCCTATGTTCAATTGGCGTCCCCAGTTTTTTTCTTAGGGAACCAAGGAGGTATAGGGAAAAAAAGACAAAATAGAGGTTTTCTTTTTTTTTTTTTTTAAGATTTTATTTATTTGAGAGAGAGAGATCGCACAAATTGGGTGAGGGACACAGGGAGAAGCAGGCTCCGCTGAGCAGGGAGCCTGACACAGGGAGCCCAACTTGGGGATCATGACCTGAGCCAAAGGCAGAAGCTTAACCGACTGAGCTACCCAGGCATCCCAAAATAGAGACTTTCATAGTGAAGCTTGTGAAATGATGGGGGAAACTAAGGGAACAGAAAACCCAGACCTTAGAATTACACAAGAGTGTAACAGCAGGAGAGCACAGGTACTATAAAAGGATTAGTTGGGGCAGGATGGAGTGCTTACCACTCTTTGGATTTCCATAGAGGGAAGAAAATGTTCACTTTCTTGGGTTGGGGGACAAAGTCAACAGTCCTTGATAGGAAAAGAAGGGAAAATCTTCATGCCCTGGTTTGGCCTTAAAATGTCCTTTTCCCTATAGTCTTTCCAAAGAATCTTCAGTAACATCTAGTTGGTGCACATAAATGCTTAAGCTTTTCTTACTTTTTCCGTAAGGGAAGTACTAATATGGAAGGTAGGAAAGCACTTTTTTAAACATTTATTTATTTGAGAGAGAGTGAGAGAGAGAGGATGAACAGGGGGAAGGTCAGAAGGGGAGGGAGAAGCAGGCTCCCTGCTGAGCAGGGAGCTGGACACTGGCCTAGGACCCTGAGATCATGACCTGAGCTAAAGGCAGACACTTAACCAACTGAACCACCCAGGTGCCCCTAATTTTAAAATTAAAAAAAATTTTTTTAATTAAATAAATTTTTTAAGTAAGTTCTACACCCAACGTGGGGCTTGAACTCATGACCTCAAAAGCAAGAGTCACATGCTCTACCAACTGAGCCAGGCAGGCTCCAGTTCATGTATCTTTGTAACTTATTTTACCAGTTAGGCATAATTATATTTCAGAGGAAATGTACCTCTTGAAACCTCTGAATTCTTTAAAAGAACAAGGTCACTCAAGTTAATTTTTTAGTGTCTAGCTATACTCACAAAGTATATGATAGCTGAAAAAAAAAGCTACAAACTAGGAGATGTAATGGCACAAATAATGGTGAAATCAGAGCAGAGATGGGGAAAACATATGGCACTTATAATTAAATGTACTTCTACGAAGAAATTTGTTTTAACATGTGTTTATGACTGCCAATAATATATTACGGGGGGAAAAGGAGTACTCACCTGGCAAAAACAGGAATTGTTAGTCTCTTCAAATGTGAAATTACTTGTGAAATTACTTTTGAAATACAGAGGTGCAAACTTAATCAAGATCATCAGAGAACAGCTATAAAAATCTAGTTACCTATTTCACCTGTAGGAAAAGACAAGCAGATAAAGCCATTAGAATTCAGAAGCCCTTGGGTTAAGACAGTTTAATATTAAGAAATGTTTAAAAAACAGTATTTCTTTTCAAGCCGGGCTCTCCAAATTTGGCAGAGTAATGCAGTCCTCATTCTTTTTCACTAAAAAGCTCGTTTCTCCACTTTTAGGTAATGTGGTTAATTTTAACATAGTTGGAGGGCCAAAAATATTACACCTGGTTAAATTAGTGTTCCAAGACTGAAGGCTCCTACTCGGGAGAAGACAAATGTAAATGGTATTAAACAGGCAAACAATCGATACAATATTAAATATCAAGTGAGATAGTATACCCTTTCCTCTTTTGTTAACCATCACCAGTTTTTCTGGAAAGGGGTTTCGGAGAAGAACTGGCATGTGGAGAAGGAATACCAGTCAGGAATTTGCGCCTTTTCATTGCTAGTTCTGCCACTTCCCGATTCAACCATGATAGATTCATGCAGGGCGGTCGTGGGTTCGCTGGCTCCGCAGGCTGCAGGCGCTTACCCGAACAGAACTGCTCTCTTCCGAGAGGATGCAGCAGCAGAACCCGACCTAGGAGACTCCCCGAAAACCGGCTTCTGGCTACGGCAGGAGGAGAGCTCAACAACCTCCCAGGGCCCAAAAGCAGCTCTAGGGAGTAACGAGTTCACTGAACTTGGGTCCAAAACGGTACCGTATCCCTCGGGAAAAAAAATGCCACAAAGCTGCAATAGTGAAGCAGCAGGTGTTCTAAAGCCGAAGGAAGGAGGCCGGAGGAGATACAGCCCTGCGCATGCGTGTTCTATGTGGGTGCGGCGGCAGCAGGCAGGGAGTAAGAATTAAGTGGTGAAGAAGGGGGCAGCGGCTGGTTACTAGGAGACGGGACGCTCGTGTGGGACGTCTAAGCGCTGCGTGGGCGTACGCCTGCGCGGCGCGGATGGACCAGGAAGTGGCCTCTACTACGCGCCCTGTAAGGCGAGCAGGTGGACGTACGCGTTTCTACGTGCGTGGGTGCGCACGCACGGCTTGTAGTCCCCGCGAGAGGGAGGGTCGAGCCAGGTACGCGTGCGCACGGGAACTAGGGGCGCGCGGGACGGAAGCGGAGCGAAGGCGCCGGGGAGGTGGAGGACGAGCCCCCCTCAGGTACAGAGCGTGAGGGCGGGGCCGACGGCTGCGCCGACGGGCGCTAACCGCCCCCGCCTCCTTCCCTCCGGGTCCCGCCTTCCTCTGCCTCCGCTGGGGTGGGGCCAGGTCGATTTGGGGGTGGGAGGGGAGGGGAAAGGGGCGGAGGATGGAGACCGACAGGGACCTGGATCCCTGGCGCAGGTCAAAGCTTGCTAGTCGTCGAGATGAGTTCCGGGGTGGATGACGGGCCCAGAAACCCTGGGAGGGACTCGGAGTTCCAGGTAGAGGCAGCAGGGATGCGCCGGGTTGGGATAAAGCAGCTCCTGGATCGGAAGGCCCTGCAACAGGGCAGGTGTGACGGGGGTTAGGGGCTGTGGGTGATCCCTGAGGTGGGAATTCACTGCTTGACCGGCTGTGAGGGACGGTAGTGGGCAGAGTTGCGTCCAGGGAAGCCCTCCAGGAGCAAACTTTGCCGCTGTTGTTGTTTCTTGGGCGTTTAGGGTTGAGCCCAGTTCCTATGGTGACCGCTTCGCTTCCTGCCGCAGCTCTCCGCTTGGTTGTTGGGGGGACTGTTCTGTTTGGAAACGCCTGGAGTGGAGGTGAGGAATTTGGAAGTCAGAGATTTGGGAGTTCAACCTGTCTTCCTGAATCCCCGCCTCTCACTTCTAAGCCTCTTTATAGACTTTGGGAGGGGAAGGGCCGAGATTACGTAGGTATTTGCATGAAAATCTCATATAATTTCAGTAGAAATTATACACAGGAAAGGCAGTTAGGTAAACTGGGTTTGTTTGAAAACACGTTTGAGACTAAAGTTGAATAATCGCGGCGATTATGGACCTGATACGTAAATACGCATAGGAATACTTTGTTATTGGTTATTTTTTTTTTTAAGATTTTATTTATTTATTTGAGAGAGAGAGAGAATGAGAGACAGAGAGCATGAGAGGGAGGAGGGTCAGAGGGAGAAGCAGACTCCCTGCCGAGCAGGGAGCCCGATGCGGGACTCGATCCCCGGACTCCAGGGTCATGACCTGAGCCGAAGGCAGTCGCTTAACCAACTGAGCCACCCAGGCGCCCCCCCCCCTTTTTTTTAAAGATTTTATTTTTTTGTGAGGGAGAGAGAGCACACAAGCGGGGGGAGGGGCAGAGGGAGTAGCTGACTCCCCGTTGAGCAGGGAGCCCGATGGTATAGTCAGGATTAGGGCTTCAAGAACGAGTTGCATAGATGGCATAGCCCCAGTGTTTCCCTTCTTCCATTCCAGGCCCTTATATCGCAGGATATTCGTTGTTTTAAATTTCCTCCACTGGTTTTCTGTATTTAAAGTACACTTTTTTTTTTAACCTGTAAGAAAATAAATAGACTAATTGGTTTATAACTAGAAGAAACTAGGTTAGTTATAAACATAAATGGAAAGTGTCACATTCAAATCTGCCTTCAGGATAAAACTGATTCTTGTTTGTATCTTAATTGTTCAAGGAACGAAACCATTCAATTTTAATTAGTGAGGAATAACTAGGAAGGTATATTAATGAAATATTTATTGTAAACAATAAATTTTGGCATTATTTAATGGCAGCTTGCAAAATATGTCTTGTTTATTGTCTGAAAAAGTCACTGCTTATAGTCCAGCATAGAATCAGATGTAGAGATTCTGTTGGCTCCTTTTCTGTCTTCTTTTTTAGTTGCTCAGATCAGTTTTAGGGTAATTTGCTTTTAGAGTATTCCATACACAGAGACAGAGCAGGTGTTATTATTTATTCTCTTTTCTCATCACATGCTCCCTCTTCTCCCCAGATGTAGCCACCATCCTGATTTCTATGATAACCACTTCCTTGCTTTCCCCTAGAGTTTCGCCGTCTTTGTATGTGAACATGCACATTCTAGTTTGGCTTGTTTTTGAACTTTATATAAATGGAATTGTAGTAAATATTCCTTTCTAGTTTGTTTCTTTACTCAACCTTATGTTTTTAAGATTTATCCTTGTTGCTTATCGTTAGTTTGTTGTTTAGTGTTTAGCTACTCTACTATTAAAGTTTTTACAGTTTTTGGTAAACATGAACCACTGCTGTGGACTTTCTCATACATGTACCCCATGATAATCTTTTGAATTAAGCTAGTTAGTAAGGTAGTTCGATTTGTCTTAGTTATGGGATTAACATCAGTTTATTATTAATATTTTTTAGTTCAGGAAAGCCTCTTGAAAACAACTCCTTAACCGCTTATGTTTCTTAGAGGTCTTGATAAATGATCACTTTTCCTAAGGCCATTGTTTTATGCTCCTTTAAAAAGACAAGTTATTTCTTTATAGAATAGTCTGGATTGAAGAGAAGTAAGGAGCTTGAATTTGGTTGGATAACTGGAGAGATTATTTCTTTTTCATAAGAAAGGTTAAGCATTGTGTTTTTACTGTTTTGTTTGAAGTGAATTCCCAAAAATTTTTTTTCACTTATTTTTATAATACAAAAACCTATCTCAAAATTATTCATAAAACTGTGTGGTTTTCTACATCTTTCTGTTAGGCTATTCCTTCCTACTTCAAAGTATCTGTCAGTATAAACTTTTGGAGACAGTTTTATAAAAAGAAAACAAGTTGATTTTTTTGTGGAACCAGATTTCAGAATCCCATATAAAATACTCCAGTATTTTTAATTATCCTACCAAAATATTTGGTGACATTTGTTGAGCATGTATTATATGTATGATATTTTGCTCAAGATTGATATTTTTTTCTTTTTAGCACCTGATCTTACCTCCTATTTCATTAAAAATGAAAATTCTACCAGGCAGGACCTTCTTCAAATTTCTACCCCTTCTTATCTAAATCTTCACCTGACCTTGCTTTCCTCTTTCTAGTCTCAAAGGACAGTGCACATGCCGTTTATTTGGGTTTCCTTTTATTGGCTCAGTGTCCTTTCTCCATTAGTTATCATTAACCCATGTCTTAGGAATCTTCGATGTGTTTATACTGTAGGGCTTCTTAATCTAGAGCACAAGAACTTTAGGGAGTTCTTCAACCCCCTGAAATTGTAAAGTTTTGTATGTGTTTTTATTTTACTGAGGGGAGGACTCAGGGCTTTTGTTTAATTCTGAAGGGAATCCTTGATATAAAGAGAATTAAGAAACAAGTTTTTCTCTTTTGTAACAACCCTTCAACAACAGTAGTCTTCTATCTTTTGCTCTACTTCTCATCTCACAATCATGCTTTCTAAAAGAAGTCTACATGTTCTATTTCCTTTAGTTCATTACTCATTTATTAGTCCTCTTTAAATGTGCTTCTACCCCATCTGCACCATTGAAACTACTTTGTTCAAATCATCAAAATTTTGTTATTTTTCAGAATGTTCTGTTGACCACCAACTTTGTGCTGGGCACTTCTGTAGGCATTAGAGATATAACAGTGACCAGACAAAAGCCTAGATCTCTTGGAGTTTACATTCTAGTAGTGGGGAGACAGACAATAAACAAGTGAAAAAATAAATGATATAATTTCAAATAGTGTTAAGTGCAAATAACCTGATGAGAGAGTATCTAGGAGAGAGGCTACTTTGGGTAAGAGGTCAGGGAAGATGTGCTGACTTTGAGCCAGAGAAGGAGCCAGCCATGCCCAGGGCTGGGAGAGTGTTCCAAAGAGAGGGAAAGCAAGGACAGAGACCTTGAAGTGGAATGAGATTGGCACAGTGGAGGAACGGAAAGAAAACCAATAAAGCTGATGGGTGAAACAGAGAGTACTAGATCTATTTAGGGAAGTGAAGGCAGGGGCCAAATTATGTAGGACCTTAAAAATTTTGGATTTTTATTCTAATTGCAGTGGGAAGCCATTGGAGTGTTTTGAGCAGGATCTCACGATTTTAAAGTGATAGTTTTGATTTCAATTTGGAAAAAAGTTGTGGGGAGCAATAGTAGAAGCATGAAGACCACTTAGGGAACTGTTCCAGTAAAGGTGTGGGAGATGAATATGGAGGTGGTAATAAGCACGTAGAGAAGTGGATGGATTTGGGAAATATTTTAGAGGTAGAACTGACAGGGTTCATTGTTGGGGGTTAGGGAAAGAGGAAACAAAGACAATCCCTTGGGCACTGCACAAATGATGATGCATTTGACATGGGAAAGACTGGGAAGGAATACAGTGGAGGCAGGGTTGAGAGCAGGAGTGCAAGTGGGGGGCTTAAGAGGTCTGTTTTAGACATGTTAAAGTTGTGATGGCTCTGGACATTCAGTAGACACAATACAGTGTGTTAAGTGCTCCAGTAGGAGTATATTCATAGTTTTGGGGGAATATGGAAAATATATCCTAAGTCTGTTTTGGGGGAAGTTGAAGTCAAAACCACTTTTTTTTGTTATCTTTTTCTCTATATTTTCTTAGCATACATGTGCACATGTGCATTCCTCTGATATGGCACTAATTATGTTGTACTGTAATTTCTGATTTATTTGTTCTGGACTTCCCTAGAGCCACTGAGGGTTGAGATTGTAGGTTTTTATTTGTTTTCCATGTTTCTTTTATTTTCTTTTTTTTAAGAGAAAGAGAAAGAGAGAGAAAGGAGGGGAGGGGTAGAGTGAGAGGGAGAGAGGCTGTCAAGCTGCAGAGTCCGACATGGGGCTCGATCACACAACCCTGAGATCATTACCTGAGCTGAAATCAAGAGTCAGATGCTTAACCTGCTGAGCCACCCGGGCACACCTGTTTTCCATCCTTCTATCCCCAGAATCTAATACTGGTTCATTCTTATCCTAGCTATTTATAAATTTGTTTGAAAAATGAATAAATGTGACTGTTAAAATCTGAAAGTATAAACTGAAACAATGACAGTGGGAATAGAAGAAATGCACTTGAGAGTGATTTTAGTGAAAAGATAAGTAGGACTTGATGGCCAATAATATATATAGCACTTCTTGCCAGGTAGTGTTCTAAAATGCTTTACTGTAACTCATTTAATCCTCACAACAGGTCTTGGAGGCAAGTACTGTTATTATTCCTATTTTACAGATGAAACCATGGCCAGAGAAGTAACTTGCTTATGGTCATGCAGCTAAGAAGCAGCAAAGCTAGCATTATGCACATAAGCAGTCTTATGCTAAAGAACAAGTTCCTTACTATTATGCTATGTTGCTTCCTCATTGAGAATGATTGTGATTCTGGCTTGGGTTTTTATCATAACAATTTGCTGCTTCCAAAGTACTTTTACTTGCATTCTCTGAGATCTGTACAGGAATACAAGTTCCATTTAGATAGAGATTGTGGGAATGTGGAGGATACTCAGGTGGCCTGAGGTGGGGAAC